TTTTACACACTAGGACTTCAACTTAAAAAATAAAAACTTTCCAAATACACAAATTGGCGCTGCTAGGACTGGTGAGATATGTTAAAACAATGCCTTCTCATTTACACATGCACACCAGCAGATACAGAACAGTCCAAGCACCCAGTTTACGGACCAGTTGGAGGGCAGTTTGATGGATGGATCAGGGTCCAGTCATTAAGAATGGGGCTTTTACAACCATCTGATTAATTTAATCTGGGACTGTATGTTACAGAAATCTTTAAAATACTTTCATTAGACAAAACTACTGATTTAGGGATGCACGTTTTCCAAAATTTGTTTAACCAGTTATTGCTGCACTTAATAGTTAACACTCATATACCGGTAACGAGCAAATCTTTGTACTATTTATAGAGCAGAGGCAAACACTTTTTCGTCTTCTCTTTTTAACATAATTCTGTCACACATCCAAAGTCCCCCACTTGTTACAACATTCATAAACTAAAAGTAACATTGATGGGATGAGAGCTGAAATGTCCGTCAGGACCTGTTGCGGAGCAGACCATCTGGCATTAATTACACAGCGCTACTTATAAGCGCATTCTGGGGGCCGCAATTTAAAAAAACTCTTTAGTTTTCTTACGCTGAACTAAATAATTACACTACTACATCTTTATTTTACTAAACAATTAACTCTTAGGAGGCAGAGGCAAAGCGCCATGGCAGACTGACCTGTTGCTGGTCTCGGTAATTTGCTGCACGCCTTCATTTCCAAGTTCTGCCAGGCTCAGCGCTTTGATGTGGGGCCTATTTTTGTGTTCAGTACCAAGAAGAAAATGCTCTCACGCTGTGCTTTTTCTTAACCACTTCATCTTTGAGTACATTTATTTGATCATGTGACAAGCTCACCTCTTCTGTGGTTTTCGAGTAAACCTATTTTGATAGTGACACTCCTACACCCCCTAGTGGCACAAAATATATTGCACCAGCACGCCATTCCAAGACATGGAGGACTAATGCAGCTAACCGGGCAAAATAATTTTACATGGTTATGACGTAAAAGGGCAAATAACCACATAACTACATACCGTAAATCCTCTAATATAGGCCTGTATTCAATTAACGGCCGGGTCTCATATTTTTGGCCGGTGTCGGAGTCGGCGGAGGTGAATAATGGCCGGTCTCTTATTGCGGCCGGGTGGAATGTGGTAACAAGCAAGTACGGGGGGCGGTTGTGTCATCGTCTCACTTTTGATTTGCCAGTGATAGACCGCGAGGGTAACTTTAACCATGCGGAGACGAAGAGGAGGCGAAAATTTGATATCAAGTTCAAAGAGAACATGCGCTGCAGAACACTGGGGAGCAATAGGGGTTGTATGAACTAGTCGACTTCACTATAGGGACTTTTTATGCCTGTCATCGACTAGTCGCTGTCACGTGATAACGACCGGCAAGATGCAGCCCTCGGAAAAGACAGCAGCCTGCTGTCAGCAGGTGACAAGCTCCTGCGCTCGAGGGGGCAACGCGCTGTGCCAGAGCGTCGGTACTGACACGCGATCGTTCATGTCGGTTCATTTCCTTTAATGTTTTCTGTCTTTTATTTGCGCCTGATGCGTTTCGCTGCTGTGGAGCGGGGCGCATCACCTTGTTCTCCGGTGACGCACCGATCACTGATGTGGCCAGAAAGCAGCGAGCACTCCGCTGTTTTTGCGGTCGGTAGATCTTTTAGAACTGCAGTTCAAAGGTAACTCATAAGGTCAATATATATGAACCCAGGTAGCAGTTTTTCTTTAGGATTGAGAGGAGATGCAGGAAGATAATAAACAGGCAGGACAGAAAAATAGTCAAATAAAAAGTTAGTTTTTGTACCTGGTGATTGCAACAAACGGACACCATTGATGGTAATCAGAAGTGAGGAACAGAAAATGAAATAATTACTTTAATGTTTAGAGCAGCAGGAACTCCGAGAGGCTGCAGGCGCATCAGTGTTTGCGGCCGCTGCACGGGGGAGGGGGGAGAGGGCTGAAGCAGAAACTACCGTTGTTAAAAGAAATGTGTTTAACTTTGAAAATGTGGGCGCAATTTTAATTGTCAAAAACTCCAGCGAACCATTAGTTCATTTTGCTCAAATAGAAATAGAGGCCTGCCTCTAATTCTGGCCCTCCTTCCAATAAAGGCCTGGAGCTTGATGAGCTTGAGTCAAATACAGGCCCGGGCCTGTATTAGAGGATTTACGGTAGATCCCTAATTTGATTCATTAGTTGCCATCAGTATGTGAAGAGCATTTTACACAAAATGGCAAATAATGCCTCAGAAAAGCGTCTCCTATTGCACCTTCAATGCTGGCCAAATGAATTAAGCAATATCCAGTCTTTTCTTTTTTGGGCTACGGTCGCACAGCAGTTAAGTGCTTGTCCTGTAATCGGAAGGTTGCATGTTTGAGCCTCGCTCAGCCTGTCGCTGTGTCCTTGGGAAAGACATTTAACTCACTTTGCCTGCTGGTGGTGTTCAGAGGAACCGGTGGCACCTGAGGACGGCAGACTCGCCTCTGTCAGTGAGCCCCAGGGCAGCTGTGGCTACATCGTAGCTCATCACCAGCAGGGTGTGAATGACTGATTGTGTTGTAAAGCGCTTTGGGGGTGTTCCAGGACTCTAGAAGGCGCAATATAAAAAACAGGCCATTTTCAATTTCATATTTATAATTTTTCATGAAGAAACCATCCAGCTCTGTTTAGATCCAGAAGTCAAGCTACAAAAATGCTGTTTATTTTACTGACACAGTCACATTTGCTCTGACATTTCAGCGAAATTTCATAATTTTCTTCTTGGTTTCTGAATTGTTTCATCAAAAAAAACTTTAATTTTCAAATAAATCTTTGACTAACTTCCTGCCCAGTACCTCCACACACCCTCTGTATCCGTTGGTATTATAAAACATAAACGACAAACAGTGAAACTACTTCTATTTTAGGATCTGAGCACATTTCTGACTGAGCGCCTCAGCTGAGTGACCCTGTAGAGGGGTTGGATCTTGAACATGTCTGCCCATCTGTCAGTCAGTCAGGTTTTCACCTCCTGCATGCTCTGGCCCTTCCACGACATCAAACAGATTTGCACAAACACAACACGCCATCTCTCCCTTACACACAAACACTAAGACACACATTTCAAGCATGCCCTGGTGTGCGTCACGGCAGCCATCTGCTAGCTAACCGGAGCCGTTTCCAAACACAGGCACGCGCACACACACTCGTGCTTTCTATTATGACACCAACACGAGTCTGGGATACTACTAAAGCCGTTTGTTTTGATTGTGATACACTATTTAGATGATGTTAAAGGGTAACTTTCTGAACAGGTGCATCTGAGGAAAAACTGCAAGAAAAGAAGTAGTTATGAGAAGATGGTGCAATTACACTTAACTGTATTTGTACAACCTTTTCTGTGTGTTAAACTGGAGAGAGTGTGATCTACTTAAGAGAGTGTGCCACAACCTCCTAAAACTCAGAGGCGCGTGAAGCTTCCTGTTGCTACGTTAAGACATGGCCCACAGAGCCGGGCTGGCACAGAAATCTATTTTCAGCCGCAGGCTCAAAGGGAGATTTTTACAATCCCAGCTGAACTGTGTTGCAAACTTCTTCTTTTTTTTGAAGAGAACAAGTGCGTGCAGTTACACTTTCAGAGTGGCTGCATCTCTCCGCTGTGGGTGAGACAAAATAAATCATAGCTGTAGTTTTGCGTGAGACTTTACTGAATAAACTGATTTCATCTGTGCATGCAAACGAGGGTGTGAAGAAAATTAAACAGACGGGGAGTGCATGTGCTCATAGGTGCTCAGACAACCTCCAGTGGAAGTTGGTCTTCCATGCGTGATTTAGCAGCAGCTGCAGCTCTGAGTTAATTAGGCTGACCCCTGCTAACCCTGCCTGACCAGGCTACTTATTAACCTTAAATCTCAGTACCATCATCTGAATACGCCACACTGTGTAAAAAGATAAATAAACATGGCTCCAACTTATAAGGATGGATGATTTGAGGAATTTGGATGCAGGATTTCAAGTGTGATTATCCTTATTAACTTGTTAATGTAAGGACACACACACACACACACACACACACACACACACACACACACACACAGGAAGTGATTACTGCAATGTTCCAGCAACAGCTTTAGCAAGTAGCACACAATGATGCAATACCTTTCTGCTCCTCAGCTCCAAAAAAGCCAAACGAGATTCAAAGTGTTGTTAATCTTCAAACTGCTGTCAGAGACACAGAAGCGCTGCAGTTTTCCAATTACTCACTTTAATGTGATATTACAGCCATCAGCTCCCCGTGTGTCCATGACACTCAATACTAGGCTACAGGACCCTCTGTAATGAGACACAACTACGCATCGCAAAGATGGATGAAACACTATCGCTCTTATCAGACACCCAGATGTCAGCCAGCAGAAAAAAAAATGTATTGTTTTCCCTCGGTGGCAACCGTTTCAAACAGAAGATGGGATTGATCACAGATGGTTGTGCTCTAAATAACTCATGTCAATGAATAGGGTGAGGATAAATAAAGTGATGATGAGAGCAAAGGAGTGGACCGGCAGCAACTATCGAATCACAAAGAGAAAACAAAATGACGCAGCAGAGGAGACTGGATGAAGTAAAAAGTTGGAGTGATGAGACGCATCTGCTTTTGATGGATTTGTGTGCTGGCCATAGAAGCTCTTAAAAACTGCTTTCCTGAGTCTCAAAGGTTTATGAAATCTAACTACTGACAGAAACATAATCACAGTAAATATAGTTATAGAGATCATGTGATATCACACCCAGTTACTCAGATGTTATTTCTGATCCAGCTGTTGAATGGTTTTGAGCAATCAAATGACTAAAACAGATCTGACTTCCCAGTCTGTGTGTAAATACGTCTCACATAAGGTGGCCTTCAACAATACTAGTCTACAGCTGCAGCTGCGCAAAGACCAAAAAACAGAAGGTATTTTAGGCGAGTTAACATCTTACCATCATCCAGCGTGATGTCCTGGATGCCGATGGAGCGGAACGTGGGCTCCCTGTCCTCTGGTTCCTGCTTAATATTTAGCCTCTCCCCATCTGAGGGAAATTGCCCCTGAGGACTGAGTGGGTGAACCAGAGGCCCCACTGCTGAAGGAGATAAACTGGTCAAGACTGGACTTGTTGCCTGAGGAGAGGGCTGTCCTGAATGCTGCTGCTGTGGCAGGACGCCCAGCGGGCTGCCCCCTGAGGTGGGGGAGGATGAAGTGGGAGACTGGTAGGGCAAAGAGTGGAGCTGAGGAGAGGAGGGACCAGAATGGGGAGATGGGATCATCTGTGGAGGATGGGCAGTGGATGGTGTGGGACAGGAAGCTGACCTTTGACCTGCAGGGTGGTACCCCAAACCTCTCTGCACCTGTGAGGAGTGCTGCCCAGTGAGAGGGTGCTGAGAGGGCATCTGGTTGGGGTTTGGGGAGCAGTGAAAGCGTGCCAATGCATGGAGGTGCTGGTTCTGGGGAGATCCAACGATGGGGTTGTTGGATGAGGAGGAGGGAGCTGATGGTGAGGAGCAAGGGGAGGGCTGGTAATTCATCCCCAAACCAATCGGGTGTGATGCTGCAGTGGGGCTCTGCTGAAAGGGCATTCTCTCATAGCTCTGGAGGGGGAGGCTGGGCTGGCCATTAAAGGGCAAACTATGGCTCTGAGTTTGGTGCAAAGACTGGTAAGAGGGCTGGAGGGGACCAGGAGCAAGGCCCTGCTGGAACGTCATGTGGCAGTCTGCAGGGAGGGGGTGCAAACCGTGACCCGGAGGGGGAGGCAGTTGCTGGAAAGAAGCGGAGCTCAGTGAGGGGCAGGGGCCGGGCCGAGGTAGTGGGCCGGGTCTGGGGCCTGTCGCCAGGCTATGAAGGGAGCTGGACAGAAGGTTGTCCGATAGGTGGCCCTGCTCAGGAGAAGGCAGCTGAGGGTGCACCAGACTGGCAGCATGTGCCATGGGCATGGGGGGGGCAGCAGTGAGGTCCAGATCATCTCTCTGCTCCTGCTTTACCAAGACTGAAGACACAAAAGAGTAAAGAGACAGAGAGAAAGCAAATTTTAGAAGAGGACAAGATTACAGATAACAGTTAGAAACACAGATCAAATTCCATCAAATATGCTTCAACTCCACTCTCTTTTATTCACTTTCCACAGCAGACAGATGCGTAACAAAAAAAATAACATTTATACCATAAGCTAATTAACATAATTACAGATTCACCACCATTGCATTAATACAAAACTACATGAAAAACACCCAAATTCTATCAAAATGGATTATTTTCCTTGTTATTTTTCTCTTTAGTAAACAAGTGTGTGTGTTTGCAGACGTAAGATTCTTTCTGATTTTAAGCAACAAGTTTGATGCATTTTAATCTAAAGAAGAAAAAAACTGTTAAAAGTTTAAGGACATGTTCTACCTACTCTACTTTCCAAACGTTGTGTGAACGTGAAATGGGTCTTCTAACAGGTTAAAACTCGTCCCCAGAACCCAAACTGACGTTGACTTTTAAATGGGGCCGGCCTCTTTTACTGCAACAGCTTAGAGCGCTGCTATGCCAATCGGTAACCCATTTCCCAATCTGGTGCCTTGTGACCGTGAGTTTTATTTTTATCCAGCTCTGAATCAGAGGAGAGCATATGTTGTCAGCCTGGTTGCCATCATGTGAAATGTGCGGGTAGAGTAGCTGAATGCCCCCCAGCTCAGATCAAGCTGAAAGAACAAACCGGTTTGCTGCCTGTGCCTTCTACTCACCCCGCTATGCTTTTAGGACTGAGCGTTCAAAGCTTAAACTGGAAACTGAGCCAGGGATAACCAGAAAAAGAGAAGAGGGATTCAGATGTTTTATAAATGGATGTTGTAATTATAAAAGAAAGAAAAGATCAGTCTGTTCCTCGGTTTTCAGTAAAAACATGTTGCTTTTTCAAATCTCAGAATATATTTTAATCGGGACAGAGCCTCTGCAGCGATACCTGTGATGAAACTCCGCTGATTGACTTTCTTTTTCTCTATTTTTCTCCCCTCTGCCACAATAAAGCAGGCGGTGTCCGTGGTGACATTAGTGGTGTCAGCAACCCTGTTTGACTGACAGAGCAGCGCTTTTCTACGTGTTGCTGATTGGCTGCACTGGTCTGTCAGCGGGGAAAACAGGAACTGCCTGTGCCGAGTGGGCGTGCTTGCAAACAGAAAGGCTGGGTGGGTGGATGGGCTAGGTCGCTTCTACGTACAAACACACACTCAACACACACACTGTTGCGGTAAAACTCAAGGTTTGGATGTGTTGCACAAAAAGCTCACATGTTAATATCTTACACCAACTCCGTTTTCAGTTTGACTGGATTTTTAGAAATTAAACCAGAAAAAAAAAACAATAACAATTTTAAATAACACAACATGAAACCTGACACGAATGAATATGTCCCTCGTGCTCAATCAAAAATCTAAATGCCGAGCTTCCTCGATGCATTTATACACACTGATCACAACTGACGTAAGAATGTAGTAACATTATCCTGGATATCAAAAGGTTGGTATCAGAAAATCTCATGCAAATGCAGCCAGAGCAAGAGGTGGAGGGGGGGGGGGGGGGGTGCCGTTGAGGAAGCTTTACAAAATAAAACAGTTGGCAGGTGTTAATGTTATTGTTAATGGAAGATTCCACTTTAGTCCCCGTCAGGGCTTTCTTTGAAGAGACAACAAGAGAAAAGAGGTCAGTGAAGCCCCCGTGGAGAAGTGTGCAAAAGGATGAGTGTGTTATCTCCGCTCTCAAACGTTTTCAAATGAACGCAGAAGAGTCGCCACAGCTCAGAGCAAACACCTAGAAATCTTTGGCATTGTGAAGATCAAGGTTCTAGAATTAACATGGTGTCTAAACTCACCTGAAAGGTAGGTGAAGCGTTGTGATTGGCTCCTTTTGCGTTTGCCGTTGCAGACATAAAACTGCACCTGTACGGTTGAACTCACGGCCTTACTGTGGTAAGGAGGGACCTCCACGATGATGCACGACTAAACAGACAATAACAAAAATTTTAAAGAATCGCATATACAAGGAAAAACAAACTAAGCATGCAACATTTTTATGATCCTTTTATGATGAAAGTGTGTGAATGTGTGCATGAATGGATGAATGATTCACTGTAGTGTGAAGCGCTATGAAGTCGTCTGACTCAGACAAGCACTATACAACTGCGGGTCATTTATCATTTATATTCCATTCTATATTCTCAGCGTGCAAGCGAACGAGCTCACACCTATGTCACCGAAACAAGCAGCTCTTTCATTTTCTGTCTGATGGGAACAATCATCTTCTGATTATGGGAAATTAGTGAATCACTTATTTTGAAGCTTTGTTCAGTAGTTTTTTTTAATAAACATGCTGTAGTCTCTAGTATGAATGAATGCCTGGCAAGTCATTTTCTGTCTGATAAAAGCTTCAGGTGGTGGAAGAAGAGGGATTACTAATTAGTAATATTCATGACATGTAAACAGCTCACCTCTGATTGGCTAAAAGCAACACAACTCTTATGCTGCCTCCCTCTTCTTTCCTGAGTTAAAAAATGCAACGTTGAGTTATCTCTATAGCAGGGGTCATGTTAACTGGATATTTAACGTATTTGATCTTTTTTTTTTTTTTGGGTGATGGAAAAATCTGAAGTCTGTCGGTCATTTGACAGACTGGAATTCCCGCCACTAACTCATGCAGGTGTGCAGACATTTTACACAGAGTACATGATTAAGGTAACAAAATCAATCAAGCACAGATTGCCGTACGAGCATTATCTCACACTTGGACACCATCCTCAACGCATCTCAGCGTGCTGAAGCTCAGAGTGCGTCTGTGACTCACAGTCACAGGCCAGCGAAGCAGAACCACAAGGTTCTAGTGCACATGTGGCAGGATTTGGCCTGGTGAATCAAGTGCTTTCCAGCTCTTCGTTCCTGATGAAGAAATGTTTTCTGATTTGTTGGTTTTGTCTGTCTACAAGTCATGAAATGTGTCCTAAATAGGGTTGGGCATCGAGCATCGATTAGGACCGGGACCAACTGTTAGTTTTTCCTGGAATTGCTCAAAGTGTTTTATTTCGATTCCTTGTATGCTGACCGAAAGAGGAATCCGCGGCCGATCTCTGTGAAAAATAAACATGATCTCTTAATTCTGATCAACGCTTTCAGAGCTGATCACACCAGCTGTCTGTGTGCAGCGCCACGTCCCCCCTCCCCACACCCAGCACGCAGTGGCCAAATATAAACAAACACTTCTGCCGAACTTTTACTCCATAATGTAAACTTTTAATTCCTGCAGCGTACAGGAAACTTGTTAAAATAGGTCAACAGAGTGGATTTACTAGACACTTTAAAGAACAAACTCTGGACGGTGTGAGGTGAATTTTTCTCACTGCAGAAATAAAAACACACACGGAGCGTCAGCAGTCACACACAGCCGCTCACCAACACTCGTGTGTGAGCGTGAGCGTCAGAAGGCTGAACAATAACCAGCAGAATAATTAACATGATCGTCCTGAGAGTGTTAGCTGAAAACAGCTGGACGTTTCTAGATATGTTGGAGACATTTAGCCTCTCATCCCAGAGGCTTCTTCCAGACTTTGGTTGTGGTCAGAAACAAACACACTGGTTGTGCTGCAAGTCTTTATCTTTTTCTCTCCAAAACATGTTTCTGTCTAAATGAAGGTGATGTTGTTCATACAGGGTAACTGCAGGTTTAAGGGAGCCAAATTTAAGACTTTTTAAGACCTTTTTTAAGGCCACTTTGACCAAATGTAAGCTATTTTTCAAAATTAAATTTAAGCTATAATTTCCAGCTATTGCCTGGAACCGGTGCTAACCACGTCGCAAACGTGGGATTAGCCATCCAGTTACCATTAAACTTGCACTTCCCCATGGCGCAAGCGCCCACTAGCTTAACCAGCTAGCTTAACCAGTCATCTTAAAATAGTCCCCTTTCACAACCAACTGAACGTGCACGGTTCCGCTTACGCCAACATCATACACAAAAAATGCTGAACACTAACTAGAAATTCACAAAAATTTTATAGAAATAAAAGAATCTTGTTTATTGGGTCTTTGGTAATTTAAGACCTTTGGAAACTGTATTTAAGCATTATTTGTCATTTTAAAGGATTTTCAAGGCCTTAAATTTGGAAAAGAAAATGTAAGACTTTTTAATACTTTTTAAGGACCCGCGGATACCCTGTTCATAGAATTAAAATTTATGTTGAAGTTATGTTTATTTCATCAAGTAGGACCTGTGGTTAGCTGGCTCATTTAAAACATGTCATGTCTTGAAAGAATCAGAATCAGGAATTGATAGGAACCGGAATCGAAACGAGGAATTTGAATCAGAATCGGAATCGTTCAAAATCAAATGATGCCCAACCTAAGTCCTACATGAAACATTTTACTTTCTCGTCTCCAAAATGGGCTTGCAACAGGTCCTAAGTTTGCTTAAAGTTATGTACGCTTTTCTGTCAAGATTGTCTATAAATCACAAAGTTTGAATGAAAAGTCGCTTATGCAGTTTTCGGATGCTGTTTATTGATTAAGCAGTCTTTATAAATAAGGCCCCTGAACCTCATGATTATAGCCTCATCAGCAAGACCGTTAGAGGCATTTGATTACGCACAAGCAGGTTCAGTTTAACACAGAGCAGAAGGAAGGTGTGCATTCGGCAGGTGAAACATTCTTACTTTAAGTGAAGTCATTTAAATCTAAGGTTAATAAGTTAGTAAATTACTGTTCAGCTTGCTTGGACTTTATTTTAAAAAAAATTAAATCAAATGGCACTGAATGTCAATGTATTATTTTAGAAAGTAAATCGATGGGGAAAGAATTATCATGACAGTTTTTTTTTTTCATTTCATTGGTCAAAATGGCAGACAACAAAAATGTCTAGTGCGACCTCTGCCCCAGAGATAACACAAGCCTGAATGTGTTCTGCCATGTTGGAGAGTTGCTATTGCAACGGTTAGCTTCTACTATCCAAGATGTGCTCTGCTCTCTCCTGGCTGTAAAATCTTTACAGTCGGCCCACAAGAATGCTGAATTATCTTGCGACGTAGAAGAGTCTGGCTTTGTCTGACTCAATTTTATCATCTATTTCCTTACAGTAGCTAAGCCAGAGGATGGGTGTTGAAGATATTTTTCCACATTCAGCATGGTAAAAACAAGTATACGATTTTTCAGTGAATGAGGCATTTAAGCCAAAAACTAAAAGGTTTTGTTTTTAGCTAGAACGTTTTACCTCCAGTTGTACCTGACTGGATGTGCATGCTAATTAGTAAGGAGCTATTGACATTACATTTATAAACCACTGATGATGACAGATTGGAATTGAAGGGCACTCAATAAATTAAACGCTGCCCAGATCTTCCAGGAAAAAATCCTGGAACTTAATCATGGATGAAATAAAACCTTACTTACACCTAGAGTTTTCTCCCGGAGTATTTTTGCCTCTACTTCCCATTGTGGTCGTCCATCTAGAGCAAGCGATAAAGAGAGAGAAACACAAGGCGAATGAGTAATGCGTTTCCAGTGTTCTATGGTAAAAACTTTTACTGTCAACACAATAAGTCATCCACATAAAGTAAGATGCGTGTCACTGGATGAATCTAGGTCAGAGATGATCACGACTGCCTTTTTGCTTTAGATCCAAATTGGTGCCAAATTTTAACTTACCGGTAATTCTCTAGAGGCTATTTTCCCTATTTTTCTTCCTCAAGTCAACATACATGAACAATTATGCTGTTTTAAATGCACAGAAATCCCAATCAGTAGTTATAATGATAATGCAGTTAAGCAGTGACCAACAGCGATAGGGTCTTGCCTGGCTAACATGACAGAAGTGGAATAATCACATTTATTTTATAATTCCTTTCAAACTGCCTAAGTTTCAGTTTGATGTTTCTCATGAGAAATCTATTTTTAGACTAACATCTTATGAGCAACAGATTGAATTGAAAGTTTGAATGAAGACAAGAAATTGCTTTAATCACAAAAGACTGAAGACATTTGACATCTGAAGGTCTGGGCAGCCTTCGAGCTAAAAAGAAAAACATTTGCAGCTGTCTCTTTTATGGAGCTCTCATGTTGCATCATGTACATTTTGCACCTGAAGGCCTCTTCCACAAAACCCGAAGGATTCCCCCCGAATACCACTGTCAGGCATCTGCAACATCTCTGCAAAGAGGCCTAGCCTAAATAAAGACTCACACAAAGGATGTTCAAATGAAAGCTCTTCAGCTTTCTGTTAGCTCAGCCTGCTGAAGGTGCTCCCATTTTTGCAGGAAATTCACCCACCAGTACATTAGGAACTTCTAAACCTTAAAGAAAAGATATTTGTTGTGAAAGTAGAGCTTAACTCGTTGGTGGCAGTTTTTAGTTTTTCCACGAGCGATGACCTTGAAAGCTGACAACGGTGCATTACTGCTGTGCAGCTTGTTGACATTCAACAGGCAGGAGCAAGGGCCCCACATGCTCCGTCAGACAACAAGCACCGACAGGAGCCTCATACCACAGTAAAACAATAACTCAGATCATCAGGCCATTCTCGTCTCCCTCCCCTTTCTGAGGGGGTAAAATGTGCTGCCTGTTGTGCTTGAAGAATAAATAAATAAAAATAAACATAAATGAGAGAGAGAGAGAGAGAGAGAGAGAGAGAGAGATCTTTATAAAAACGTAATTCTGTGGCTTTAATAACACAACACCAAAGTTCTCCTCTTAGTCACTGCTCAGGGTAGACATGGTTACAGCCTTTACAGTCAAACCTTTTGTATAAACATCCATGCTCGTAAAACTGAATGACTTATACCAACTATGGACATTTTCAATTTCAGTGCATGATGGAGTCGAGTAACTCAGATAGTTCTCTTTTGAGTAGAAGCTTAAAAGTCTCTGACTCCTGAAGAAAAGATGATTGCAGGAAAAGTTTATATTCAAATGAACAACCAGAAAGTATCCTCAGGCTCTGAATGCTTCTTCCTATTCCTCTTTATTTACACACACCAAAAACATTTTTTTAATTTTAGCTTCTTTCCTTCAAAGAATGGAAAGGAAAGACTAAAGTCAAAATTAATAAATAGAATGCTGACTCAGCAATTGTTTTATTGACTTTTACATAAATTACAGCTGCACAACGTTTTGTTTGGCACAGCATGAGCTCAGGAGGTAGAGCGGGTTGTCCAGTAATCAGAAGGTTGCAGGTTCGATCCCAGCTCTGACCAGAGAATGCTGCTGTTGTGTCCTTGGGCAAGACACTTAACCCATTTTCCCTGCTGGTGGGAGTCAGAGGGACCAGTGGCGCCTGTGTTTAACAGGCCTCGCCTCTGTCAGTGCGCCCCAGGGCAGCTGTAGCTGCATCGTAGCTCATCAACACCAGCGTGTGAATGGGTGAATGACTGCGACTTGTGTTGTGAAGTGCCTTGGGGGGTTATAGAACCCTAAGAAGGTGCTATACAAATACAGACCCTTTACCATGTTTGAGCATCAACATCGCAATGTACGTGTGTGCAATAGTCAGGACACTGCGACGGGTCCCACTGCGATGTCATCTTTCATGAGATATGATGAAAATATATCCGTCAGTGCCTCTCTTTGTTGTTTCCTCCAGTCGTTTTGTTTTTGTGGTAAAGCAGCCAGCATAGCGACGATGAAGGCAATTCCTTTACACACATCCACATCCACTTTGGTATTTTTTCTGCCTTTTCCACAGCCCAGTGACTGCATGCTGAATGGGGCCCAAAGTTTTCCCAAACCAAGATGTGCTTCTCCGAGGTTTCCACTCACTACTTTAGTCTTCCACGCTTCAACAGCTAAGCCTGAAAAGGACTTGAACACATTCCTCCCGGCAGATCATTTTAATTGAGAACTCTAAAGAATGACACGTGCTCACAAAGACGACACCACTCAACGTTTTGCCATGTGTAAACTTGAATCTGTTGCCCCACATCGCTAAAGTACATCAGGCAGGTAAAGACTGGTTCAACAAATGCCACCCATTTAAAATTTCCATTCAGCAAGTGCATTATTGAAGTTAAGGAAAACTGTTACTTTAAAAAATTGGTTCAAACACCACAGGTCTTTCCATTAAGTCTATGTAACAAAACCCTGAGCTTTTCTCTAAATGACTGCAAGCAAACACGCGGGCCTCTTGGGCAAATTCTAATGTTCCACATTTAGTTGCTGTATTTACGTATAAAATAATAAAATAAATAACCTTTATATCCATTCCTCTTCATTGTGTTAAGTGACAGGGAGTCTGAAACAAATGCAATCATTGATGCACGCACTAATGCAAGAAACCAGTTTATAATAGCTAATAACCTAGCACATATATCTTTAGACTGTGGAAGGAAACAGGAGCACCTGCAGATGAAAGCTCACATGCACAGGGAGAACATAAAAACTCCACATGGAGACGCCCTAGCAACATGATGACGATGATAACCAGTCCACAAAGAAGCGGAATCAACAGCTGGAATCAGTAAGAAACAAATTAATCAGCCTTGCCTCTCAGGAAGCATCCTGTGAGAGCAATTAATCAGTTACAGCTACAGAAAAACAAGTTTGCTTTTGTGATAAATTGAGGATTTTAAAATGTTTGTCTTTTCTAATTAAACAGAAATCGTATTCTAGACAGGACAGTAAAAACTACGGCTAAGCCGATAGGAACATTTGAGAAGACATTCATATTAATACTGGTGTTACGACCGATAATCTATTTTTACTGATAGTACGTATATTTCCCTACACTTTATAAAAGCGACCACACCACCTGGATTGTTTCTCTACTTCAGTAAAAAAAAAAAAAAAAAACACAATCATAACTTTCTCTGTCACACACCTAAACAAATACCACATGGCCAAACCACTCCTCCACACACACACACACACACACACACACACACACACACACACACACACACACACACACACACACACACACACACACACACACACACACACATCAACAAGATAGAAATAAACATTGGTTGTTATTATTGGCCAAGTTTTACTAATCAGATCTATTCAGACATGTTAAAAAAAAAGACTAAAACTGTCCGATACGGATGCTGATGCTGATAATCGTGCATCCCTGAAAATTCAGATGACATAAGTCACATACTAACGAGGGTTTTCTGCGTTACGCAGAGCACCATTTGGATAAGATATCTCAGGAATCATTGATTGTTTTTGTGTCACACCCTGTTTCTGTTGGAATCCATTTGATTTATGGCTAAGCTGTTGCGCCGCCACAGTGCTCACCAGGGCCTTTCTCCACAAAGATGACCTTGGACTCCGGAAAGAAGTTGGAACCAGTGATGGCCATCTCCTCCCCCCCACTGACCAGACAGCTGGTTAGACTGGATTTCTCAACCTGAGGCAACTCTTGAGCTGAACGCTGGGCTGAAAAAGATGCAGAAAGCAGGATTTTAAAAATGCTCAATGATGTATTTTCATGCAATAGTTGCTAAAAGAATAGTCTCTCTAAAAACAGGGTACAACAATGTTTACATTTGAAATTACTTAATTAGTAGATGGACATTATTATCATCAGCATAAGATCACAAGTTTGCTCTTGAGGACAATTCTGAATGAATACAACACTCACAACACTCCACAGGAATGGAGGCAGCCTGCAACGACAGCACCTTCCCGTTGGGTTGTGGGATGTGCACTCGGAATACCACACGGACCCGAGTGTTCTTTCTTCCGATATCCGTCTCCCCCTTCCGCAGCTCAATGTCGGAGTTCCGCAGCTTAAGTATTCCAGCACAGTCAATACTGCAAGGTAAAGGGAAACAGTCAGAAGGCTATGCATCTTAGACATGTTTAAGTAGTACCTGTAAAAGCCAAGACGTGATGAAAACAGCCCACAAGCCCAGCAGGGAATTGGCAACGAGAACTACGGGTACAAGAGTTGAATCACAAACTAAAAATGCACATGAATTTGATTTATTACAGCCATAAACAAGAAAATCCCTACCAAGTCCATTCTTATGAATTCCACTGTAAATAGAACCAGATCTTATTTACCAATGTGTATTTGATTATTATAGGTCATAAGTATATTAATAAACACTGGATCTCTGCTTCTCAGGAAATTCTTTATTCCTGTAATCAATCTCATCCTTGGTTTCAATTAGGAAAATCTATTAATCTCTGAAAGTAACAAATAATTGAAAAATTTGTCATTTTTGCCTGAATAAGGCTTCCTTCATGGTGGCAAGCTCATAATGTCATCACCCTAAACACCTACCTGGCTGACATGTTGTTTTCAGGAAGGAGAGGAATTTCCAGGACTTTGGTGCTTGAGACCATGATTTCTTGGCTGGCCGTCGCTACGGTTTTACCGGTGATCCGGTGCACCTGGTAGAAGGCGTGTGGCCTCAAGTAACGGTCGTCTGCTGTTCCAATGAACATCTGGAGGTTGACAGGCTTTTCGCTGTAGCCAATAAGCTGAGAGATGACAGACAGATAGAAAAACCCAAAAAGCAGATGTGAGTTCTTGGATTCCAAACTATGAAAGGTGGGAACAAAAGGTTGTTTCTCCTTCATTTCCACTGCCTTTCAAAGGTTAGCTTTTTGAAAATCTCAAAGCCTGTTTGACATTGATATTTCTCAGAGTTTAGCTGGCATTTTGGCTTCAGACCTGAGTGATACTTTGAAATTGCAACACCCCCCCCCCCACCCCCCAAAAAAAAAGTTCTTACAGAAAATTTTGGCAGAGGGAAATTGTGGTGATTTGTGCATCTTAGAAAAAACTTTTCATGCACACCAACACTAAGATTATACAAAACTGATTCTGTGAGGTCTGGCAAATAAAATGAAATGTTTATGGTTTTTGTGGGATGTGAAAGTTGCCAGTAGAAATGTCATCAGCATTTTCAGCTCCAGTGGTCCATGCACGCCAAAACGGATGGCTATGAGTGCCAAGGAACAGTTGTCCTCTCTACTTGTTCCTGAATGCTGGCCCCTTGGTCTCTGCTCTGAGAAGAAAATCTTTGATTGAGGAAAATTTTAGCATTTTGGGTAAAGACAAGGGGAAATGGAAAGGAAAGCAGGACCTTTCCTCTACAGAGGGACAGAACAAACACGCCATCCACACAATCCCACCACTGTTGTAATGTTGAACTTGGCAGACTCCGTGACGGCAGGATGGCATCCCCCCACATTCACACTCCCACCATCCAGCTCCAAAAAGACCACACCCCCAGCTCAGACGGAGGGTCACTCATTAAGGTTAGCAGAGATGAAGAAGGCCTTTCATTGCAATTTTACTTCATAACTCCAAAACTTCAACTTCACCAAAGACTTTTTGTTTTCCTCTTTGTATATGTTCATCCCACACACGTGTGTTGCTGTTCGGGACTAAATGTTTGGTGCAGTAAAGGACATGAAGGTGGCATGCTGAAATCCAGTACTTGTAAATTTTAATCGAAAACCTTTGCTTGACTTTTAAACAAAAAAATTAAATTCAATAAAATGTTTGAGTACATAAAATTTAATGGAATATACACGTATAAGATATTAACGCTTAGGAAAACAGATTTCCTGGGCCCACAGAAAATATTTCCCATGTCTCCTTAAACACACACACACACACACACACACACACACACACACACACACACACACACACACACACACACACACACAGTTTTTTTAATGACTTGTGCACTGAATTTGACTGTATTGGTTTAATTCAAATGTAATTAGGTTAAACAAACAATTAGACTGAACTGGACTGAAAAACAAATACACAAATAGATGGCCTTGAATTAATTGAATATGTTGGAAAAGGCTTGCCAATTAGCACAATTGAATCAATCATTAAACCTCAAACCATTCTTCTGATGCTTAACTAGGCTTTGGAAAGCAAAAATCTGCAACCTTGAGGTATGTTGACACTCCCATGCCACATCCAGTGTGTTTTCTAACGACGTATTGATGGGACTAATTAGAGCGAGTGAATAAACAGCAATGATTCACAGAACCTTTTGGGTGTGTTTCAGTAGAGAGGTGAGGTATGAAACATTTGTAAGCTTAAGGGTAATTTATAAAATTCATCTTCAATTTGAAAACCCCTTATGAAACACAAACAAAGCAATTGTAGTTTACTTTTGGTAATTGAAAAATACCTGAAAGGAAGTATTTCCAAAAAAAAAAAAAAAAAAAAAACGAAATAACTCTAAATCAGTGGTTCCCAAACTTATTTAGCCGCGCACCCCCTTCTATGTCCCGACCATGTCGACGCCCCCCCCCCCCCCCCCCCCCCCCCGCCTCGGGGCATGGCTCTATCTATCTATATCTATATATATATATATATATATATATATATATCAGATGTCACGCTAAACAGACAGGGTTAAAAAAATTCCCCATCACTTTCATTTTTTAAATAGTAATTAATAAACATTCGATACCATTACAATTTCCTTTGATTTCATTTTAAATAAATATTTAGAGTGCCCAGGTAGCACATAAACAATGCAATTTAACGGTTTTCTTAAAGTAGGAACGTTTAACCAGTGGCCAGAGCGCTCTCCTTCCTTCTGTTTTGCTTAAACCTGAGCTGATCACCTACTTGTGCGTAATCAAATGTCTATAGGGGACAAGATATAGCCATGATGTTCACTTTTACCTCAGACCGACTTATTGCTGTTTTATGGTGTGGCTGAATCTGCGATCCGCTGCCACGATGACTGGAATAACAAATGGTGCAGTAACGTGAGTTGTGGTCAGGTTCATGAGGAGTCACTGGCTGGAGCGGACCCGACTCATCCCAGAAGCTAATATCTTAATTTGACCTTGAATGAAAAATAACCTCTTAAAAGTTTTTATCGTGGTGGAGGCAGCGTTCATTTCTGCCTTCAGTCTGACTGCGCGCCGGAGTTAAAGCAGCGTGCGCGCTTATTGAATCTGTGTGTGCGCGCACGCGCGCGCGGCACAGCCGCTCAAGCCACCGCGTCTCGTTATTGGCGCTATTTAAACTTCTGCCCAGCCCAGATGTGCTCACATGTGCACCCGTGAGCCGTGGTTCCGCTGGAACGCGTGTGACCTCTGACAGACGCACTCTGAACTTCAGATCTTCAGCGCGCTGTTAATAGCCTGAATGGGAATCATTTCTTGTTATTTTGTTACATCCACAATGTTCCGTGTGTGAGGTCTACAATGTCAGAACACCTGCATGAGACAGGTGTTAATTACAATCTGCCAGAATGACTCACCACCTTCAGATTTCTCCAACACCGTTAAAAATGATCAAATACGGAACATATCGGCGTGCGCAGGCCAGAGTGCTGAAGCTCGGCGCATTGTTATTATGAAGTTAGGGCACATGCGGAGGACACGCGCGCGCAAAAATATACTTGTTTTCAATTACATTTATTGTGCCCACTTACTTTTTCTTTGGCCCACCCACAAATGAGTTTCTACAATAATGGTGACACATGACAGACTTCTCTGAGCTCCGCAGCCATTACACTTTTCACCTCGCGCACCCCCTAGCGGCAGCTCGCGCACCCCCAGGGGTGCGCACACCACACTTTGGGAATCCCTGAAATAAACACATTCAACACCACATGAAAGTGTAAATGTTGCTACCAAAAACTTCAGAGCTAATTACACATCTCAGCTGGAATCCATCTGTAAGAGTAAATGACACAATATTTAAGAATTTACAAAGAATTGAATCAAAATAACCAAAAGTCTTAACTGGGCTGGTTTTATTTGTTTTATGATCTTATCTGCATATTGTTGAAGTGAGCACATGTACAGTGGTGTGAAAAACTATTTGCCCCCTTCCTGATTTCTTATTCTTTTGCATGTTTGTCACACAAAATGTTTCTGATCATCAAACACATTTAACCATTAGTCAAAGATAACACAAGTAAACACAAAATGCAGTTTTGAAATGATGGTTTTTATTATTTAGGGACAGAACAAAATCCAAACCTACATTGCCCTGTGTGGAAAAAGTAATTGCCCCCTGAACCTAATAACTGGTTGGGCCTCCCCTAGCAGCAATAACTGCAATCAAGCATTTGTGATAACTTGCTATGAGTCTTTTACAGCGCTCTGGAGAAATTTTGGCCCACTCATCTTAGCAGAATTGTTGTAATTCAGCTTTATTTGAGGGTTTTTCTAGCATGAACCGTCTTTTTAAGGTCATGCCATAGCATCTCAATAGGATTTAGGTCAGGACTTTGACTAGGCCACTCCAAAGTTTCCATTTTGTTGTTCTTCAGCCATGCAGAGGTGGATTTGCTGGTGTGTTTTGGGTCATTGTCCTGCTGAAGCACCCAAGATCGCTTCAGCTTTAGTTGACGAACCAATGGCCGGACATTCTCCTTCAGGATGTTTTGGTAGACAGTAGAATTCATGGTTCCATTTATCACAGCAAGCCTTCCATTTTCTGAAGCAGCAAAACAACCCCAGACCATCACACTACCACGTATGTTCTTTGTCTGAAATGCTGTGGTACTTCTACGCCAGATGCAACGGGAAATTTGCCTTCCAAAAAGTTCAACTTTTGTCTCATCAGTCCACAAGGTATTTTCCCAAAAGTCTTTGCAATCACTGAGATGTTTCTTAGCAAAATTGTGACGAGCCCTAATGTTCTTTTTGCTTAACAGTTGTTTGCGTCTTGGAAATCTGCCATGCAGGCCATCTTTGCCCAGTCTCTTTCTTATGGTGGAGTCGTGAACACTGACCTTAACTGAGGCAAGTGAGGCCTGCAGTTCTTTAGAAGTTGTCCTGGGGTCTTTTGTGACCTCTTGGATGAGTTGTCTCTGCACTCTTGGGGTAATTTTGGTCAGGCAGGTTCACCACTGTTCCATGTTGTTGCCATTTGTGGATAATGGGTCTCACTGTGGTTCGCTGGAGTCCCAAAGCTTTAGAAATGGCTTTATAACCTTTATCAGACTGATGGATCTAAATTACTTTTGTTCTCATTTGTTCTTGAATTTCTTTGGATCTTGACATGATGTCTAGCTTTTGGTCTACTTCTCTGTGTCAGGCAGCTCATAATTAAGTGATTTCTTGATTGAAACAGATGTGTCAGTAATAAAGCTAGGGGGTGGCTACAGAAATTGAACTCAGGTGCGAAACACCACAGTTGGGTTATTTTTTAACAAGGGGGGGGGGGGGGGCAATTACTTTTTCACACAGGGCAATGTAGGTTTGGATTTTGTTCTGTCCCTAAATAATTAAAACCGTCATTTCAAAACTGCATTTTGTGTTTACTTGTGTTATCTTTGACTAATGGTTAAATGTGTTTGATGATCAGAAACATTTTGTGTGACAAACATGCAAAAGAATAAGAAATCAGGAAGGGGGCAAATAGTTTTTCACACCACTGTATGTATAAATGACTGTACTACTTTGTGTGTGTGTGTGTGTGTATGTGTGTGTATGTGTGTGTGTGTGTGTGTGTGTGTGTGTGTGTGTGTGTGTGT